TACCAGCTTGAACAAGTTCACAAATTCCTTTCTGATCCTTTTCCTTAATCAGGAATCTTTCCTTCCACTTGCACCCTGTCTATCGTTATAGGGACTAGAACAACTGAGGTGAGGTGAAGCAGCCTGTGGGGAACATTGATACACACAGGGTGTGGGTGGGGATTTGCAAGTCATTTATTTTTACTTTTTTAATAGGCCTGAAATATGAGTGCTGCTTTTATTTGGGAAACACGAGAAAAACCCACCTTCTGGAGTGAAATCACTGCAAAAAGAAATCCACCACTCACAGCTATGTAAGCAGTGAGGAGCACAGTAGGAACCCCCTTTCCCCTCTGGTTCATTCAGCTCATGGTCAGCAGGGACCCAGACTCCACCTCCTGTAGTGCTCCATACTTGTTCCCCCAAGATGTAGGCACAGGGAGAGCAGACCTGAGCAGATGACCCCTGCGTCCTCCTTGTGCCTGCAGTTGTGTTGTCCCCATCCCTGGGAAGGACACTTCCAAACATGAGATTCCTCTCCCGTGCATTTCAGGTCGTCCAGCCAGATGGGTCCTGTTCCTTCCCCAAAATGCGCAGAAGCAGTGGCATTCATGGCCACTCCACAGCCCAGCTGTCTGCACACCACGTGGGCATCAGTCAGGTCCCAGTTGTCATCACAGATGGTGCCCCAGGAGCCCTGGTGAAGGATCTCCACTCTACCAGCACAGTGACTGCCCCCATCTACCAGGTGGAGCTGTCTGCTCTCTGGTGAGAGACAGTCATGTTAGTGAGGGATTTATACAGTATGAGAAGGGGTTCTGGTCCTGTGGGACCCCTCACCTGAGCAGTTGGTAGCCCTGTCCTCTGAGGCTGCAGAAGCGACTGGGTCAGACATGGTGTTATTGCACAGGGACAGCAGTTGTGTCTGGTTTTCTACAGAAACAATGTGATAAAGTGGTTAGAAGGGCTAAGTAGCAGGAAATTGAATAAAACTAAAAAAATTAGTGAGGGAATTTGAGATGAAAACTCTAACATAGGAGTATCATAACTTCAGAGCTAACCTTCTTTATGGAGGTTAAGCAAACCATTGCAACGAGGGTGACTTTAGAAAAGCTGGACTATATGACCATTCTTTGAAAGCACTTATCCTGGCAATGAATTGTTTCCAACTGTTTTCCACATTCATTTTTTAAAAACTAGCACAGGTATTATTAAATTATCACACAGTAACTGTGGATTTTCTAATTTCTATGTTTAATTATGTCACTTGGAGCTTTATGTATATAAGACTTAGTCTATGAGAATGTATTTTTTTCACTATGTCTGTTTTCCCCTTTTTACATTTTCTGTTCTTTTATCTTTCTGTGTATCTTTTATCTAAATTCTGTGTATATTCCTATGATCAATCTCCCATGTTGCTATTTCTTTCTTATTATGATCTAATGTCTTATTATGATCTAATAATAAAATTTTTATTATACATAAAAATAAGAAAAATCTGAAAATCCAGGATATTTTTATTCATATATGGAAAGTAAAAGATCAAACCACAAAGAAAGTAGAAAAAAGAAATACCATACTGTTTTTATTAGACATTTCACTAGAGATCAAAATTAGTTTAATAAGGAATGAAAAATAAATAAAAATCATAAGAATTTGAAAAAAATAAACTATAATTATTTGTAGTTACATGAATGCAGAAAATGCATAAATACAGAAAACCCCAAAGAATCTACTGTTAGATTATTAGAAGTAATAGTTGAATTAATAATATTGCTGGACACAGGTCAATATAAAAAAATATGCAACATCAATTTTATTCCTAAATAATAACAGTATAAACACACTGCCGCGGAATCAAACACGACTCATAGCGACCCCTCCTTGGGTTTCTGAGGCTATATCATTACAGAAGTAGATTGCCCAATCTTCCTTCTGAGGAGTGGCTGGTGGGTTTCACCGCCAGCCTTCTGGTGAGCAGTCAATTGCCTTAGGCACTATGCTACCAGAGTTCCTAGTAACAATATACAATGATAAAAATTAAAAAGCTATTCTGCTTAAGATAACATTGAAAACATAAAACACCTAGAAGAAAACCTGGTCAAAGATGTGCAAGACTTCCAAAATCAAAGAAGACCTAAGTGAGTGGAGGGATATACCATGTAAATGAACCAGGAGGCTCATTATTGTCAAAATCAGTTCTCTCCAAATTCATCTGTAGATTAAATCAAATGTCAATCAAAATACCATCATGTTTTCTTTTTGGTGAAAATGATCAACGTAATCTAAAAATTACATGGAAATTCAAAGGACCAAGAATGATTACATTAGGGAAATAAAGGAAGGAAATTAGAGGAGTTACTTTACCACTTGTTAAGACTTCTGTAAAGTTACAATAATTAAGGAAGTGTGATTTTGGTGCAAGGATAAATTAAATTCTTTAATTTCTTTAATAAAATGGAATGGAATAGAGTCTACAAAAGACTCATACATGGCCCTGCTCTGTAGATTTCACTCAAATCACAATAAAACGTTAAAAACAAAGAAAGAAACAAAAAAACTACATGGACCATTTTTATGACAAAGGTGGCACAGCTGAGAGAAGAGAGTGTTTTCCGGATAGGATTGCAAGTCAATTGTATATCCATATAAAAATATGAAACTTGATTGCTATACCACATCACACACAGCAATAAATTCTAGAATGCTTATACAATTACATGTATAAGAAAAACAATCTTCCAAAAGATTTTGTGGGAGAATATCTTCATGATCTCGGGGTAAAAAAATTCTCTTGAAATGGACATAGAAGCACTAAGGATACAGAAAAAGTTGATGAATTGTACTTCATTAAAATAAGGTACTCAGCTCATCAAAAAACATGATTGGGAGAGTGAAAACAGCCCAGAGTTAAACACTCAAAATAATACATAGGTAATTATACCAAAAATCTTTGTCACAATTATTTGAAACATCATTATTTGTAACAGTGAAGAACTGGACACCAATCACCACCATCAGTTGCATAGATCAATACATTGTCATGTGATCATTCTAGGATACTCTGTACAATAATACGAAGGAAGCACTGCTGTGAACAATGACTTACATGAATCACAAACATAATATTGAACCAAAGAAGTAAAATAAGATAGAATACACTGCATAATTTTATACAAAGTTAAAAAACTGGCAAAAACATTCTGTGGTAGTAGAAGTTAAGAGAGTGGTTTTCTTTGGAGAAGAGGGAGGGCACAGAGATCGTTGGGGCATGTAGGTGACCTTTAGGTGCTGTGAATGTTCTCTTCATTAACCTGGGTTGTGGTTATTCAATTGTGTTCATGTTATTGTAATTGAGTGAGTTATACACTTATTGTTCATGCACTTTTTCTCTAGAATTATGCTTAAATAATAATGCTTATTAAAAAATATCCCCTTCACATTCTTTGCCCTGACCTGAAAGATGAGTGAACAATGAACCATATATCAGTGTGGACTATCTCACTTTTGAAGTTAGGTTTTCCACTGCCTTCTCTTAGGGCCATTTCATTCAGAAACTTCCTGCATACCAGTTAGCTCGTATTTCTCTCTTACCTGAGCAGATCACAGACGCTGTGTTTCCTTGGGTACACTCAGGAATCCCCAGAGCAGTCATAGGGCAATTCCACAAAAAGGACTCGGCCCCTGAGCAGTGAAATCGGTGTTTCCAGATCTGATCCCTTCCTTCCACAAAGAATGCTCCTGTTGGGGTAGAGATGGCAACTCCACAGTTGAGCTGACGACAGACTACATTGGCATTGGCCATGTTCCAGTGGGAAGCACAGAGTGGTTTCCAGTCTCCAGAAATACTCATCTCCACTTGTCCCTC